CCTGGGTTCATTCTGCAGCACTGGAAAAAAAAGTTCTGGGTCTAAAATAGGTGCCTAATCTATGAACCTATGAGAATGTCTGCTTCCTAAAGAATCACAAAGATTTCAGGGACCAAAATGAAAGGGAGTCTCAGGGTATGTGGAGAGGATATTGGATGGACCTCCCCTGCAAATGGTGACTTACAGCTACAGAATTTAATTCATTGCACACCAATTCTAACCCTGAGCCAGGCTTCTGTGAATTGTATCCTAAGTGCTGAGGGTGTGCTGGGTTCTGAGCTAATCCGCTTGGAAATTACAAAAATAGATTTTAATGTTTAAGAAAATCAAGCTAATAGAGGTGCCGATTTAACAAATAAAGTATAGGAGGCTGAGCCGCATCAGAATTTCAGATAAAGAGAGAGTACGTTTTTAATTGTATTTATGTCCTAAGCAATATTTGGAACAACTTACATTAAAAAATAATTTGATGTTTGTCTGAAATTCAAATTTAACTGGATATTGTCTATTTTTATCTGGCAGCCCTATAAGCTAATAAATTAAGCATTTTTTAGGTTAACTGTAAATTATCTGCTTATTGAATATTTTATGCTTAGATATGTTGAAATTATTTTTTCATTAGAATTCAAGAATTTTGTGTAGTATTAAAAATCAAAGATGGCCAGCAAGTTAAATTTTATTTTCTTCATTTAAGAATACAACTAAGAGAAAACTTACATCACTGTTTCCTAACACAAATCTAGCAAAATAAGGGCTGGGGATTTAGCTCAGCGGCATAGCGTCTGCCTGGCAAGCGCGAGGTCATGAGTTCGATTCCTGGTACCGGAAAAAAAACCAAAAAAACAAAAAACAAAACAAAACAAAAAAATCTAGCAAAATAAGTCATCCTGTGACAAGCCTTGGACTTTTTTAATTTTACAAAAATATCCAAAATTTTATAATAAAAAAACAAGAGCATAGTAATAGTTAATATACTGTGTATCATTATTTTCAGCATACAGTATTAGCAATTCAGACTACTTAGGGTGAACATAACCATATGTAATCATTTATCTGATTAGAAAGTAAGCACTTTGCATCAGAACTTGAAATCTGTTATCTTTTTCTGAATGAATATTAAATATCGGAACCTGTCACGGTTCACTGTTTGATTTATTAGAGACATTTGATTTGAGTATGAAAGTGTAATTGGGATACTAGTTGTGAGAGGCCTTTTACACTATAAAGTAAAGGCACTAGCATCAAGTATTTTAAGAACATTTTTGATGAGTCTTGACTTATTATCTTGTGCTGTCATTAGAAACAAAAATCAAATTGTAATCATCTCATCCTGCTTGTCTAAGTCAGTGGTTCTCAACCTGGCTTCATAGTAGAAAACTTGAAAGTGTTTTTGAAATCCTTGTTGTTAGTCCTTTTCGTCCCTAGATTTATGATTGAATTGGGTCCTGGGAAATAGTGTATGTAAAAGCTCACTCAGTTTATTCTAATGTCAAGGGTGGGCACCAAAGAGCTAAAGGAGAGTGATCAAGTTCCCTTGTTGGCTTTTGTACCTGTAGTCCTCTTTTAACCTTTTTTTTTTTTTTTTTTTCCCGGTACTGGGAATCAAACTCATGACCTCATGCTTGCCAGGCAGGCGCTGTGCCTCTGAGCTAAATCCCCAGCGCCCCCCCTTTTTTTTTAAATTTTTTTTTGTTTGTTTATTTGTTTTTTCCGGTACTGGGGATCGAACTCATGACCTTGCGCTTGCTGGGCAGGCGCTGTGCCTCTGAGCTAAATCCCCAGCCTTTAATCTTTATTGAATATTAAATGAACAAACAACTAACTGGAAAGGCAAAAGCAGCTGGCCGTCTGTATCCTTGCGTTCTGTATCCACAGACTGAACTAAGGATTGAAATTATTGAAAAAAGTTACATTTGTAGTGACCATGTATAGATTTTTCTCTCGTTATTACTCTAAGTATTTCCATGTAGCAACTCTTTACATAGTGATTAAATTGTTATAATCTAGAAATGGCTTAAAATATACAAAAGGATGAGCATAGGTTACGTGAAATACTGTGCCATTTTATATGTGGGACTTGAGCATCATGGATTTGGGTACCCTTCGGTGTCCCACAGCCAATCCCTGCAAGATACTGAAAGACAACTGCATAGGTCTAGTTTTATATACTGATTTCCACCATAATTTACCCATGCATAATTTATCATTGTCCTTTATGAATGCGGAATTTTAGGAACATTAGCCTTACATGTGCACGATAGAATCTAGCAATGAATTTGTGCCCCAGCGGGACTTGGACAGTCCATCGAGAGAAGACAGGTCAGTGCCAGAACAGTGCTAACAGAAGCATGTTGTCGCTAGGAAGTCCCATTCTGGTTTTGGTTTTATGAATTCCCCTGTGTACATGTGGATCTCACTGGAGTGTTCCAGTTCTCTGTAATTTAATGAAGTAGAATCTGTTAAGTTTACTAAAAAGATTTGAATTCATTCATTTCTTGAAAATAGATTTATGATTCTTAAAATAGACGTTATACTGTCTCCTTCTGTATCTGGAAATGTCACTGTGTCTGTCATAGACTCTAATCTGGAAAAAGGGAATAACACTCAGTTTTTAAATTCCTCATGTAAAAAAGCAAGAATCCCTGAATTCTCAAATGCCATCTGTTTTGTCCTCTGAACTTCACTGTAAAAGGTGATGCTTTGGGCTCTAGTTAAATGCTTGCCTCTGGTTCGTTTTCCTTCGAACCTTCCCGGGCAATGCATAGAAGAGAGGAATATTAATTTCATTTTGGCTCAGAGCTGTTCTACTTCTGGCTCTCACGAGAGTGATCTCACCTCTGTGGTCCTCTGTCATTTATGAAGCGGCCCACCTGCTACTTCTCTCTTCCTTCCCCTCACACTTCCTTTGCCCTAGCTTTGGCCCCACTCAGCGTTTGCTCTGAGACCCAGGTAGTGGTCATAGCATTAGCGGTAAACCACAGAGAAGCTGCTGCAGGTTCAATGGCGCCTGCTTGCATAATTATTTTTGCTGCCCCTTTGTATGGAATTGTGAAACGTTTTGAGCGTCTCAGAAGGAAGGCACTGTGTAAACATGAGGTATTGTTTACTAGTTGTTTACTTCTGTTTATTATATCAGTATTTTCTGTCACACATAACTTTACATTTTAGAACTTTGCATATATGTTATTTAATTGCATTCAGTAACCTTTTTAGTTTTTTACTTTCCGTTCAGAGCTGGAATTGTTGGAAAGCTGGTAATAAGGTATCTAGAAATAGAACTCAAAGGATAAAATTCTGTGTAAATTGGGCAATCGTTGATGCATACACAAGAAATAAGACATTTTCTTATGTATTTCTTGTTTTATTAAAAGAAAAACATTAACTCTGAAACTAATGACTAAATCTTAGAAGTACTAGTATATTCAGTCTTATTATGGATTAACACTCTAGAATTCTTTTTTTCTGTTAACATGCTTCCTCCAGCTCCTTTTCTAGAGATATGCACAGTGAAAAAACTTACTGGTAAAAACTGAAGAAACTTCACTTGCAGATTTTTAAGGTTTAAATTGTTGTACAATCATTTTACATCACTGTATGAAGTAATATTCACAAGTCTATGCTGTCTGGATTTAATTATTTGGAAAAAAAATACATTTGACATATATGTATGTACATTTCTAAAATACTGTTGAAATTCAAAAAATAAATCAAACATGCAGACTCAAGTGAGCTCATAGGTATTGATGTCTTATAGTTTTAGATTGAAGAAAAAGTTTTTGTCAACAATCTGTGTGTTCATACAGGAAACCCTGGCCATTTAGATAAAGAAATTATGGGAAGATGACTTCATTGGACTATTTCAGAGATTCATCCTTTAAAACAATCTTTCTGCCATGTGCTTAGGATTAAATAGTTTTATTTCTACCAATTTAAATAGAGGGAACATAGGCAAGTGGCAGCTTTACTTAGTGAAGTTCAAATCATCATAGAGCTTCATAAAATATTTTCTTTATGCTAGAAGCATTACGCATGAGTTTAGGCGGTTAAGGCTAAAATTTGCTTAAAATGTTCAGAGCATCATAAAATGACCGTAAGTTGAGAAGACAGTTATAGTGTTTTACCTTTTACATCCTGGAGAATGTCCAGGGTCACATTGGCATGTGTGACTTGGGAGGGGTTTAACATTGTCTTCTCTCTCCTCTCTTTGTGGCTCCTGGGTATCTTTTCTATATTTCACAGCATATTTCAGTTAACTGATTTCTTTACGTCATTCATTGTAAGTTCTTGTTTCCCAGTGTCACAGTTCTGTTGTGTCTGAGCTCCCTGATCTGCTTTTTCCCTGGCTCCTTTGTCAGTGTTGTGTTTGTACTAGCTTTTCTAGCCTCTGAATTTGAAGGTCACTCTGGAATGAAATTTATTCATTGCTTAGACCCCGAAGCTGTCCAAATAGCTACAACCATTTGAAATGACTTGGGTATGGATAGATGAGTAGTGCATCAAAGTGCCTCTGACCTGAGAACAAATTTGAATAATTTCCATAACTGGGTTAGCAAGAGCCTCAAGGAAATTGGACCGTGATAGTACTTCGAGGTACATAAATAGCCCTTTTCCTTTGGTTCTCTAACACGTGACTATATTCCAGGTTAACTGATGAATTTGGTTGGCATCTTATGTTGTTGTTCTCAGCCACGGACCAATATTCAATCTTGCTATTGCTTCCCCCGCCTTTGTACCATGGTGGCAGGAAGGATGGAAGGAAGGAAGGGCGGCTCGTCGTCGTACCCAGTGAAGCGAACTACCTCAGAATGCAGAACCTGGACCTGCTTGTCTTAACTTCCATTAACGTCCCCTTAACCTAATGGCTAATTGGTTGTTTTCTACGTTTGTAGCACATGTAGAAGTTGTGTATGTTTGTGTTAGCCTTTGGAAATGTTCACTAGCACCTGCCTGGGTGTGAAAGGTAATTTCTATTCTTCTATTTTCTGATTTCTGAACTTCAGGAGAAGGTAAAGCTTGATGCTGAGAGGGAAAAGCTAGAGAGGCTTCAGGAGCTTTACTCCGAGCAGAAGACCCAGCTGGACAATTGTCCTGAGTCCATGAGGGAACAGTTACAGCAGCAACTGAAGAGGGTCAGTAGCAAACAGGAATGCACCGCTTCTTCTTTCTGTTTTGTTTTGTTTGTTTGTTTTTTATTAAGTTCCATGTTCCTATGACTTACCGCTTCCCATAGCATACATTTGCATAAATTATAGTCATTAGACACTTTATAAATAAACTATGGATGCTAATAGTATATATTATTCTATGCCAATCAGTTAAACATTCCTTATTAGAATCCTCCTCCTAAGTTATCATGCAAAAGTACTTCTAAAGTTGTTCTTTAGAAGTAAGACTTGTAGCAGACACCAAGATGGTGGCATTTATTTCTTTTTTTTTTTTTTAAGAGAAAAAAATAAAATAGCAATAAAAGAGTTTCAAAGCCAGTTAGTAGGAGATTTACAGTAATTAATACATTGCATATTGTTGTCTTCCTAGTAGTTATTCAGAGTACAAAATATAGGCATGATATCTTGGTTGTGGCGTTTAAATCAACTGACATCTTTCCTCGTAGTCTTTGCTGTATTGTACTAGTTGCCTTTGAATTATTTTTCCTTAGCTTGACTTTTTCTTCTTTCCCAAAAATTATCCCATTCTCTGATTTGCCTTCTACCATCATGCCTTGTTTTTGTTTATCCTTTTTATTTCTGCTGCTTGGTGACAGTGAAGTTACGAACCTGATTACTGCAGGCAGACACTGAGATCCAAGAAGATAGCATCGCAAATGCCCTAACATCTTCTCGTAGGAACATCCTAAATTGTAAAAGCTTATGCAATGTATGCCTTCTAATTAAAGTTTATCTGGTTACTCTCCTATCCCGAATTCTGGGAGCATTTAACACAACCACGCTGGTTATCTTCTGGAAGACTTCATATGAGGATAATTTAACAGACACTACCATGACCACTTAATTTTTCATAGCCCCTTGCATTGTTTCCTCTGATCAGCCGTGACCCGAATCAGTCATTAACAGTCTTGAACATCTGAAGAAATCGTGCAGTAGTAATTTGTCCTCAGTGAGTAACGACATATGATTTCACATCAGTCAACAAGGTTAATTTCATTCACGCTTTATCTGTACCATCTCTAAGGAATGAGCAGGTTGAAAAATTGGTTAGATCACAAACGTCAAAAATTTTAAGATGACCTTTGATATAAAAATACTTGATGTTTCTGAGAGAATCACAAGATAATAAAGAATTACAGGTAAAACAAGTGTGCTGGAGAGGTCGCGGGCATCCTCATCCGTCTCTAGCATGGGCAGGTTAATTAGCAGCATAACAGTTTAATGGTTATTTCTTACAGTATTGACACAAAGAAAGATTCAACAGTGTGTCTTCCTCTTTACCATTTTCATTCAGTAAAGATGAATTTGCTGTAGGAAGATAAAATTTCCTATCTCTTGGTGTCATAACTCTCTAGAAATTTTGTGATACAGATGATTGGGAAAAGACTAGTATTTGTTAAATTAGTTTAGTTTATAATTGTGTTTATGCCAGTTCATAAGAGATAGAAAAACTGGAATCAATCTCTCTCTGTCTCCCTTTTTCTTCTTCCACCTCCTCTGTTTCTCTCTCTCTGTGTGTCACTGTCTGTCTGTC